TACTGGCGGTAGCCTGATGCAGGTTCCCATGGAAACAGTCTACTCTGAGCAACCGCAGATGAGAGGGAGCTGAAGTCTAAATTTATCTCCCAGCATCTTTCTGACTACCGACGCACACTGGCAGCAGGAAGTGAGGAGGGGGAATGCGTGCCCTCGGCATCTTACGGCCTTTGAGTGACGACGGGTCGACATCACAGCAGACAAAAACATACAGTAATCTCTGCAACAGCTTGAACCGCGAGGGTCATAACCTCATTGCAGCAATACAACATTTGATACTGCACAGGAGGCTCTGCAGCATTCCTTAAGTATAAGGTATAAGGAAAGTCTACTTTACGGCCTAGAACTAACCAACCAGTGAATCACAGAAAGAACCAGTTTGGTTTCATAGTAAACGACTGAAGAAGAAAACCCCCCAAATAAGAAAGAAAGAAAGAACCAGACGTCTGGTAGAGCATTAAACCCCAGAAGCCGACACTCACAATCACGCAGGGATATCACTGCTGTCGGGAGAAGCCGCTCACTGAGGAGGACGGCGTTTAAAAAAACAACAACCACATACCAGAGCTCTCGCTCACGCTCTCATCTCTGTGGGTGCAGAGAAGGATTTCACAAGGTTTGATGAGACTGGCAGCTCACAACCGTTGCAGTGTTCACTTTGATTAAACACAAGACAGCTGAACTGTAGGTCAATACCGGCCGTTAAATCAAACTATCTGGCAGGGCAGCGTTGGATAATGCACACAGCGAAGGCCGGGGAAGATTGCACTTAGTTTTAATAATACCCGTGGCAGCGGAAAACCTGGTACTTTGGGTGACATAATCAACTGCAAAAACAAACTGACCACAACTAAATTGCTGGTTGCTCAATTTTGCCCAACTTAATTTGTGGCCAGGACCTTTTACGGTGGGAAATCATCTTTTTGTAGTAACATTTAAATGATATGGTCCAGAATTGGTCTTGGAGGTGTTTGCCTCTGATTGGAAAGCAGCTCTATCCCATTGGGATGATGCACAAATCCCGCAACATTTCCAGAGAAAAAGGAGTAACCTGAGGCGAAATTGACAGAGCAGGAATCCCCTTTTCCAGAACGGATATCCAACAGAAATTCTGACTCTTTACGTTAAAAAATAAATCTTAAAAACCTTTCATAATAACAGCCACACAATTGAGTAACCATATATGCACTAAATTTTTCGACTTGAGTTTTTTTTTACATAAAAATGAAATAAATCCTTGTACTCACAAAATACCCAGTTGCTAGATTATATACTAAGAAATGACAAATTTGAAATACAAAACAATCAAATGTACACTGCCGCAGTAACAACGTAACTCATTTACAATAGAAAGAGAAGTAATGATAGAGAAGGGAGGGAAAAGGGGGGGGGGGGGGGGGGGGTTGGAGAGAGGAACACCGGGAAGGACTAAAATAAGAGAGGAAGACAGAGAGCGAAGGACAGAGTGTGAGGGGAGGGGGGAGCAGAGAGAGAGAGAGAGAGAGAGAGAGAGAGAGGTTTAGATTACCTGACAGAGCAGTCTGGTCTTTCCCCTCAGAGACGCTTCACAGGCACTGTGAGACGAGCAGGGAGAGCTAGAGAGTGAGAGCGGATATGACTGTTTGAGTGGGTGTGTTGCTGAGAGAGAGAGAGAGAGAGAGAGAGAGACAGAGAGAGGATGGGGTGAGGCCAAAAAAAAAGTGATGGAGGGAGAGGGGAAGACAGTAAATAAATGTTTCCACTGTGCAAATGTAAGAGGTGCCGTAAGAAGATGCGGCAGCAAGAAGGAGCTGAAACCGAACGATATTCCCGTAGCATGAGTCAAATTTCCAACAAGTCACACCATCCTCTCTAAAAAACACAGTCACGGGGTTCAATTTCACAAAGTGCACAACAAATCAAGCAGAAAAAGAAATGTACCTATAGAGATTCTGCTGCTGGTGGCACTCCCAAGAGATAGGATTACAAACAGGTCTTAGATGGGGTTTCCCCGATCAAACAACAGCCAGAGTGCCATTCCGTGTAATAATCACCTCCTTGAAAGCAAAGTTAGGTTATTCTGTTGGTGGGTGGAGAAAAAACACAAGCCTTCTTCCTCAGTGAAAAACCTTCTGGCCACATGAGCACGTCCCATTTACGTAAATCTTCTAGTTGGAGCCACCGTGCTGCATCTGCACATGAATTCCAGAGTGGCATCCATTCAAGCAAACCCCCGCATCACGCGGACCTCGGGCTGGGCCTATCAGCGGTGCAACACCGGAGAGGGAGAGAGAGGGAGGGAGGGAGGGCGGGCGGAGAAACCGAAAGAGAGAATTGAGAATGAACGGAGGTCCTGCTGTTCCTTAGCGCTTTGCTTCACTGGCAGAGCACAGGAAGTGTGAGTCACACGCTCTAAAATAAACACACTCACACAGCAGCGAGCGGATGGCCGGGCTGCCCATCAGAAGGCACACGTGGATCCTCGCGGGCCAGCAACACGTGGGGGCCTGGTGGGAGTCACAACGAAACAAAAAAAAAAAAACACAGTGTTCCTCTCCGCTCATTGATCGGTGTTATTTTTATTTTTTTACTATTTCAACCTCATCTAACGAAAAGATGTCTACTCCGCTGTCTTTCCGTCCTCTTTGTCCTGTGCGGTGGTTCACATCTTTTCCTATTCCCTCTGCTGCTCTGTGTTCCCCCTCTTATTTCATTTGGTCCCAGTCAATAGGAGTGTTGTCCAGGACTCGGTGATTACCCCCGGGCTCTGTGAGGCCGCTGGCTGACTGCTGCAGGCGACGTTGCTGTCCTGATGCTGCACCACTCTCGCAGGCCCAGGCACCGTATTGTGTCTGCCCTGAATGTGCTCATTGTCGCACACACCTTCTATACTGTACTTCCCTGCGAGGGACCTTCCCCCATCCGTCATTCCTTTGTCCTCTGTTCCTCATACTGAGGAGTTCTGACGGGAAGGTTGTGGAGGGAAGAGGGGGTGGAGGGGGTGAGAGGCCCGGGAACAAAACTTCCACTGTAGCAATGATTGACAGGAAAGTTGCCCTACACGGACGTGACGATTAGCACAGGCCCCGGGACCCGGAAGATGTTCTCAGGTTAGGAACCATAGAGAGAGAGAGAAAGAGAGAGAGAGAGCTGGGAGCTACTAGGTCAAGTAAGTCACAGCACAGAACATGACGACAGGGATCGACAGTGGAAGTGCAGCGATGATAAAAGGCGTGAAAGCATGCCTTTGTGATGCTATAATAAATGGTAACCATGAGCTCACGTTATGCAAAACTGTAAACAAGGCCTCCCCTTAAGTATGGGCACGTGAACAATTTCACATACATGGAAAAACCTCTCATATAATGCAGAGGTGACACCTAAACTGAGCACAAAATACTTTATAAGAAACTTTGTCGTTTTGGAGCAACCACAGACTATAATTTAGTCAAAATGAGTTTGGCCACATGCGGACAACCATACAGATGTCATATTTTTGGATTCTCACCCCATAAACTGCAGACACAGGCAGTAAAACTGGCAAATATAGGAGTACTCAGAAAGGGTTCTGTCTGTTTCAAATGCAAATTATTTCAGACATGTGGTCTTCAAGTAAACGGACCCCATTGCCCTGCCTGCTGCCCTGGCAATTAGAAAAAATAACTAGCTAAGCTAGTAGGATGGGAAAACGTCCATTTGAGCAACATAAAACAAAAAAAGACCATGACTGGATGAGACCAGCAAATAGTGCTGAGACACTAATGATTACAAATGATGCCACATCTCAACAACTAAAGAAAACCACACAGCCACATATGATACAGGTTGGGGGGAGTCGAGCATGCTCGTCTTTTGTTAAAGCCAATCAATATGTATCCTCAGCAGACGTGATATCCGATCCTGTAAAACACTGAGAAACTGCCCCCCCATCTGTTTAACTCTGCATGGCTCTCTTTTCTAGAGCGGTTTCTCTGCCTCTCATTTCTCAGTTTGCCGCCATTCCGGTGGAGCATTAATAAACCCTACTGGCTTTCTGTGTGGCTCAGTAAACGTCATGTCTATCATGAGGAAGGCTACCAGGAAATCGTGTCCCTAGGGTGGCTTCGCGTAGTGATTTGCCCGTAACATAATCAGAGTTGGCAAGTCCTATAATTTATGCAGATGATATATCATTAGCAATTTGCAACGGTCGTGTATAAGCAGCAGTTTCGGTTTGTACATTATTTGCTTAGTCTTGAGCAGTATTTTTGATTCACTGCCTAAAACACAAAATGGTCTTTGGAGATGAAACAAACACATCTGGGTCTTGAGCGGTGTACAAATTGACTATGGGCCCTCGTTACTGTAACAGAAGTGAAAGAGAAACGGCGTGTCCCTCAAATAAAGCTCATCTGCGCAAAAAAGTGACAAAGCAAAAGGGGAGGAGGAGCAGGAGGGTGGAGGATTGGGTTGAGCTGGACGGATTAAATATAGAAAGAGGAAATGGCATTTTTAAAAGCTGCCCTTCCTGCGCCCACAAGTTTCAGTGATGCGTGGATGTCAAGATCACGCCTCTCCCACGCAGCTCATCGTCCCCGACGCTCACAGTGGACTGCTTCATATCTGCTCTCAAGTGGTGGTGCAACTGAAAGGAATGTGCTTGAGGATGTGATGAGATGAACACTTTCTGTAAAGTGATGGGAGGGGGATCAAATGTATTCATTATCAAGCCTTTTTGGTAGGTTAAGTCTAGAATGCTTTAACTATTATTCAACAATGTATTTTGTATTTTGCTAGATCTGCCTTTACATGCTCTTAAGTGACAACTGTTTTAAGCCTGTTGCAGTACTTTTTTAATTTACCACAGCTATTATTTCATTGCAGTTTCTTTTGTGTTTTTGGGTATTTTTCTTATAACCTGTGTGGATTCGTCCCCAATGGCGGGAAAGCCTAAGTTCCTCTTTCTGCAGCTGCTGTGCTGCATCCTGTGTGAAGCTGCAGCAGGTACAACAAGCACCGCAGTGGCACTATGCATGACCTGGCGCCATGCCTTATCTACACATCTCAGGAACCTGTGAGTATGTTCATTCGGGCTGTTGAGTTGGATCGGCTGGTGCTTTCAGTGCTGGCTGCACAAACACAGACACGGCAAAGAGTCAACAGGTGGAAGCTCAGTGTGAGTGTGTTTAAACACGGAGGACCAGGCCGCAGAATGTATCAACACAGTCTCCGTCCCCCTCTCGCTCTCACACACAACCTGGCAAAAGGGGTGCCCCTTCTCATCAGGGAGCATACGCAAAGCCAGCCCAGTCCAAGTAATTGCTCCCCACCGGGACAAACAACTCCATTCAGCCCAAGTGTCGGTTAACAGTTTGTTCTCCCTCCTCCGCTGCGCGCCCCCGCTGCCCAATCTGCATGGTGCCACGCTGCATTAGTGGCCTGTCAACAGAGTATCACCTGACGCATCAACGCCTCGTCAGCCACCCTTCACATCCAATGCATATATACAAACGCCATGCGCTGTGTCCCGCCTGTTTATGCGTTAGCGGCAATGCTTGTGAGCGCAATGTGATAAATACAGGGAGGCAAAGAGTTCAAATAGAGAACAACGCGATGGAAGCGAGATCAAGAGGAGACCAAGAGGAGAGAGGCATCTCGTCTTTTCAGTTCACGGCTCTATCCAAGTCGTGACTATCTGCCAACTAAGACAATCTTATAAAAGCCTATCGAATGTGTACTCGAGTGCCACTTATTTTATCTTGGGACTTGTTCTTGGATATCAGGCGAGACAGCTCATCAATCACACCACAATCAAGTTCATTTAAAACTTGTCTCTTGTCTCTTCGACAAATCTTTGTGTGCATGGAATTTGAATGGAATTGAACATGAATCATGAACTGCACTGATTTTATCACATATCAAATTTGGGCTTTAATTATATCCAATATTGATATTTCGAGTCGATGTTTTTATGAGTTATCCTAAATAATGAAGTTTCAGTAGTTATTTGATGCTGCTTTTCAATTTTCGCAAATGAATTAAATTTCTGAGACAGGTGAACTTTTGCAAATACAAGCGAAACTTTCTGCACGTATGTTGTTTTCTAATATGTTTTTCAACAAACATGTTAAATCGTTATGCTGCTCTCACTGTGCTAAACAGATTCCTCGAGATAGAGAACCATACTGTACTGCACACACAGGGTCGAGTGGGATTAAGGTGTTAAGATGAGAGTCACTGCCTGCATGCTGCTTAGTGACCAAGCACCAGAGACAAGCAAACATACACGGGCGTAAATTTTATTTATCAAAGATTTGACAACAAGTAAGTTAAGTGTTACGTGCTGTGAAAAATAAGTTATTTGTCACTGGCTGTAGACGGTGTTGCCAGGAGATGCAGTCTAGTCTGGCCTCGAGGGTCCAGGCCAATCCTAAACAGTGCATAACACCTACATATCATAGATGAAGAAAAATCCCCCCCTAGAACAACAGCCCTGTCTAAAATTTCTCTGGAGATAAACTCAAAAGGTATGGGTCAAAGGTATGCGACGCATTCCTCTTAGGCCCGTCATCGCCTCATACACATCTGGTAAGGAGAAGCCTCAGTCTGAAAGAGGGCTCTCTTCTGATCGTCCTCAGAGGGAGGCGGATCATTTGAATACAAAGCAGAGAAACAAAGAC